GATACTGCCGACTTCTTAACTCGCCAGCCGAACGAGCGACGTTGCAGGAACATACCGAGTCAGAAATGACTCCCTGATTCTATTAAATGTGCACGTGCGCATAACGTACCGACGACGACAACGATGATGAAACACGTGTAACCATCACGCACGCGTAAGATGCGCCTGTGTTGTTAATAGAGCGTGTACAATGTTACAGCCTTGGGAGACTGCTGAGCGAGTAACACCTACGATGAAAGCCGGCAATGTACACCACGCCCGACCGCCTTTGTCTCCCCAACGCTGATGTTTACACACCGCACCGGGTATCAGCCTTCATCCAGCAGCGGATTGAACATAGCTGATGACACGCGGTTAATTACCACGCACACGCAGACAATGCACACTGCTCTTACACACGGATGTGCCACAGACTGCAGATGACATGTTATTAATAACGTGTTAGTATACACATGTTTGTACACATGTTTCACGTGAAACTATACAGTGTGGACACTGCACTGGCTTTCAACTGCATATATATATATTTTTTTTTTAAAAATGCGTATTAATGTGCGGGGTTTAACGTTCATACATCACCACTTTCGTTTCCACGCGTATCAACATTCTCAGCGCGCGCACGATTTCAACCGGTGCACACGCTGCACGCGCCCGTATTACTCCGGCCGGTGTGTTAACCATGACTATATAGTAGCAGCGATAACGCCACTCGCACCGCATGCTTCACTCACACCGGACGTTAAAGATTCACCGAGGAGATTCGCAAGAGTTGGCCAATCGTGGTCCAAAGTTTCGCAAAATTCGAAAAGTCACATTGCAAATGACTCCATTGCTATTTTATGCATATATGTGTAAGGGGGTAATGATTATGTACGCGTGTGTAATGTAGAGCTACGTGTAATATACACGTACGTGTGTGTGTATGTAATGTAGCGTGTTCAAAGACAAATATTCACCCACTATAGCCTTAACAAATTACAGGGGCAAGTGCAATTAACGAAGCACCCTCCTAATCCCGGCAGCAATAGTCGCCACCGACTGACAGACGGATACCCGCAGCAGGGTCACTCCTACAAACTGAGACTCCGACCCTGATCGCCCCGAGTTCTCACCCTGGCCACACCGCTTAGAGACACACAGATCGTGATCGCAGAGCCGCACTCAAACGCGAGACACATTGGAACTCGTTTATTTTGTCAATCATCGGGCTCGTGCAGCGTGTACGGAGGTAATTGGTCATTCAGCGGATAGTGTGTGTTAACGCTATACGACGTATCGGAGTTTGAGAATACCTCGTATTTGTTACATGGTATTTACAAACCGCACACATTCGGCGTAGTGCTTCTCAGACCCCAGTACTCGCGACGCGTCACGCTCCGTCCATGCGCGTTTACCGATCTGTTCCACATTCAAACTCAACTTAAAGTCCTTCCACCGCTGCGCGCGCCCGATGCTCTCAGTGCGCGTGCGTGCGTGTGTGCGTGTCCGCGTGTTCCGTGTGTGAGTGTATACGTGTCCCACGTGTGTGCCTGTACGTGTCCCACGTGTTCCGCGAGTGATGCAGACAGCGTTAATTGTTTAGCGCGTTAGGTGGGACGTGTGTTTAACAATCATCGGGCGCGTGCAGCGTGGAGAGAATTCTATTATTTGAATTATATTGGTAAAGATGGCGCGCGGTAGGTCCCGGAGGGCGCTGGAGTTCGGGAAAGTCGTGCGTTCACGTGCCACTCAATACGCGTGGACAATACATCATGTGTGGGGAAAGCGAAATGTGATTTTTCTTGGGTCAACCCGTCCACTCAAAATTGCACTTTTTGGTGTAAAAGTCAACAGCATTAAAATGTCATTCTACTCGCTTCATGTTGACTACGGAGTGCTCAGGATCTTCTTCCCTGTGTCTATGCCTCTGTGTGTACTGAGTGTTATTCTACCACTCACCTACTCACGCACCAACTCACTCGCTCACCTGCTGACTCCTCACCTACTCACTCACCTCGCTTTCTTGCCCGTGTCTATGCCTCTATTCTGTGACTGTAGATATTGACTGTCACAACACATTATTCGACTCAGTCGAGCAAACCGGTAAATATTGAGCGATCGTCTTCAAACTCGCATTGCCTTCAGATTGAGAGGTGAATGATTACAACACGGAGGTGCGATATTGTGAATATCTGCCTTGAATATTGAGTGGTTTCTTATTGCACGTAAGTGTATTGCACTATGCAGTATATACATACACAGCAATCACACGTAACATTGCTACTATTATTATTACTACTATTACTATATATTTTAAGTTTAACCAGGTAAGGCCCCACTGAGCTATTATCGGTCTTTCTCAGAAGCGACCTGGCCACAATTGATAGCCCTACGAAGTGGATTATCACGTGGAAATTTATAGCAGCCAAATACTCTAAAATTATATTTATAAATGTGGAGGGAAAACCCGGAGGACGCGGAGACAAATCCACGCGACCACGGGGAGAGAGAGAGAGACACCGCAAACTCCAAATATACAGGAGCAGCAGCAGCAGCAGGCGTCAGGGTCGGGATCGAACCCACGACCTCCTGTATACCTGGCGAGGTAGTTAACATCTCCTAGCCACCGTGATGATGATGAGAGAGAGACACGCAAACTCCAAATATACAGCAGGCGTCAGGGTCGGGATCGAACCCACGACCTCCTGTGTAACGGGCGAGGTAGTTAACATCTCCTAGCCACCGCGACGCACACCACCACCACGCACGCGGTTTGCATGTCAGCTACATGCAACGCGCTCGACACACGTGTGTCATGTATGCGAAATGCGTGTGCGGTCTCCATGACAATATATTGTGCAAGCAACGTTATTTATGTTGACGATTCACTCTTATTAAAGTTGTGGCTTTGGCCACGCAACGGTGGGTGGTGGAGGGGCTTGAAGACACATATGTGGTCAGAGCATTACGTGGCTTTAACCACGACAACTATTATGAATAGGAAAAACGCAGTGAAAGCAAACACACATACACACACACGTATACACGTGTGTGTGTGTGTGTAATGCACGAAACATTCGCATGCGATTTACGTGTTGTAAGACAACAAATATATTGTACACAGTATACACAATGAACGCTTGGCACACATTGCACGCTACGCTGAAGAAACTTGATGTATAACAATGCGTCAATGTACACATAGCAAAGACAAAGATCCACTCCTACAGCCTTAGACTGTTGGGGCAAGTGCTGTTAGCGAGTAGCAGCACCCTATGAAGGCCGGCACGGCACGCGAGGGTAGTGATGTGGCTAGCACCACAACCCGGCCGCCTTTGTCTCTCCAGCGTTTACATACACAGGATGCACGCACACTGACACACAGATACACGCAGCCGCCATTCGCCGCGAAGTAACGTTGGCTTCAACGCAGCGGTTGTGCCAGACTAGGTGCGCTTCGAGATGCACAGCGGATATGCATTCGCACACCGCAACAGAGATATACTCACACACACGCATTTAGACACAAGTACACACACAATACACGTAGAGACACTGACATAAAGTTACAAATGTTATAAACACATTCACATTGACACCCTTACACATTGATACAGACTGACACACAGATACACACTGGCAGCTACACACGCTGACAACTACACACACTGACACACAGTGACACACAACTACACACTGACACACAACTCCACACATTGACACAAATATACACTTATACGGCTAGACGCACTGACACACAACTACACAGGCTGACACACAACTACACACACTGACACACCACTATACGGCTGATGCTCAACTACACACACTGACACACAAGTACACACTCTGGCACACAACTACACAGGCTGATACACAACTACACACTGACACACAACTACACATTCTGACACACAGCTACACAGGCTGACACACAACCACACAATAACACACATATACACCGATACAGCTACAATCACGCACACACAGCTAATGCACACACCGACACGCCAACAGACACCCGTCGACCTTAATTTACCATGTCAGACACCACCAGCCGCAGCAGCCGCCGCTGTAATAATATGAAATATAAAATAACCGCGAGACTTGAAAATATAGCTGGCTCCATTCAGTTCTCGAAGAATCTCCCAGCATCAGCAGCACGTGGTGCGAAACGTCGGACATCACGCACGGCACAACACATGAGAAGAGAGTCGGAGCTCTACAGTAGGTCCGCGCACGACTTCGTTAGCCCAGTCGTCGGCAACCACAATAATAATAATAACAAGAAGATCTTAAAAAAGTTTCTCTAAAATTATGTTTAAATAAAAATAAAAAATCTATCTTTGAAGATCCGCAATTCAACGTGGTGAATACGAGGTGAATTCATGGTGAATTCGTGGTGAATACGAGGTGAATTCATGGTGAATTCGTGGTGAATACGAGGTGAATTCATGGTGAATACGAGGTGGATTCATGGTGAATACGTGGTGAATACGTGGTGAATACGAGGTGAATAGGAGGTGAATTCGTGGTGAATACGAGGTGAATAGGAGGTGAATACGTGGTGAATTCATGGGGAATACGTGGTGAATTCATGGTGAATTCATGGTGAATACGTGGTGAATTCATGGTGAATACGTGGTGAATTCATGGTGAATACGTGGTGAATACGAGGTGGATCCATGGTGAATACGTGGTGAATACGTGGTGAATTCATGGTGAATATGTGGTGAATAAGAGGTGAATACGAGGTGAATTCGTGGTGAATTCGTGGTGAATACGAGAGACGGTGGGCCCTTCGCGCATAACGTCACGAAGCAGACCCAGTTGAAAGGTCCCACACCACACCGCGTGTAGTAACAACATCGACTACGGCGACTCCGACGTCACGAGTCTCCCGTGCGTGGCGATGGTGGTGGTGGTGGCATCACGGAGTTCGGTAGCTGGGGAAAAGGACGCACGCGAGGAGTTGGGTTGTTTGTTTGTTGTTTGTTTGTTGTTGTTTGTTTGTTCGTTACCTTCGGGGAAGACGGAGCGCATCTTGAGGTAGCTAGTGGTGAGGCGGATGATGGATGCCTTGTCGAGCTGCGAGGTGATCGCGGACGGGAGAGGCAGCAGTTTGGCGAGCTCATAAAACTCCCCGTTCTCCTTCTCCCGCCGAGTCCTCGCGGCGTTCTTTGTCTTATCCTTCATCGCGACGGCGACGATCTATTTTGTCGGTAAACAAGTCGTGTTGTTGTTGTCCTTGTCGTTGCTGTTGTTGTCGTTGTTGTCCTTGTTGTGCCCAGTCACTCTGCGCGCGTCAAAGAAGTTTCGCTTAAGTCATGTCTCGCTGTTGGAGCGCGCACGCACGCGCGCACGCACGTGTTGTTGTTGTTGACTGTTTGTTATTGTGAACCCGGTTGTCGCTCTCTTCTCGCTCCTTGTTGTCCGTCGCCGAGTCGTGGCCGCGAGATCGCCGTCGAGCGGTGACAGGCGAGGCAATAGTCGCCGTGGAACGGGCCGAGGTGAAATCACGTCTCACCGCTCACACCCATCCAGCAGTGACAGCGGTACAGAAGCATCGGCTGACAGCTCGTCGGAGCGGACGATCATTGGACAATCACAACGGCGACTGCCCTACTCCTCCTCCTCTTCCTCAGTTGCCCGTAACTGTAAAGATCTTCTGCTGTGCAGGACAAGAAAGCGAAACGCCACCAACCCCGAGGTGCATCGGCGGACACTGGTGCTCGTGAATTAACGAGAGGAGAGAGAACGACGCCGACTCTGCGCGACTTTTAGCTCACGCGCTCTCTCCGGGTTCAAAAACTTCTCGAGAGATTTCAAACTCGGGCCGACCGCCGATCGCCGCCCCCCGCTGATTTATTTCGTTGTTGCTGGCCGCTGCAAATCGTCTCTCGCTCTCTCACTCTCTTGCTGCCTTCGCTAGTGGATGCCGCGGCGGTTTGCGATGTGCAACGGCGAATTCTCCGAGACTCGGGGCGGCGTCGAAACGAACGCAGGCATCTTCTCGATGGCAAAAAAAAAACAAATCAGCTCGGGCCCCCTCCTCCCACTCTCTCTCTCTCTCTCTCTCTCGATCTCTCGTCCTTCCCGAGTGTAGGGACACGAGAAACGCACACACAAGGGCACGCACACTGCACGGCACAGACACACACACACGCGCGCGCGTACGCACAGATGTACGTACGGATATCTTCTGTTGCTCCGCGAGCCGCTTGCAAGCCTAACGTGCCTGCCGCATGGCTATAAAGCGTATCAGTGTGTTGTCTCTGTGCGTGTGTGTATATATATGCAATAGAACTGGTACAATATATACGCTATACTACAGTGAAGTGTTTGCGGACTCAAAACATAATTAAACACGCGGACTCTATCTCTCTACACACGCGTGTGTGTGTGTGTAAATATATATGTACAAGCTCAAGATAATATATCCGAGGCTTTCTTGATTGCAATGTCATAGGTGTTAGTGCGTGTGTCAGTACAGGGAGAAATACGCGCGGAGTGACTGAGTGTGATTGTCTGTGTGTGCGAGGAACCGTCTCTTCCTCCCTCTGTCTGTCTCTCTGTGTGGTGGGGTGGATTGAACAGGCCGAGGGATGGACGCTGGGGTTTGGGGGAGGGAGAGGAGAAGGGAGGGAGGAGAGGGCGCAGTTTCGCTTTGAAAGAAAGTGGACGGCACGTCACCGTATCATTAACATAGCCGCCGCCTCCCCGTCATCCCACGGACGAGAAAGGAAGGGATTTCAGGGGCGCAACGTGATGAACCATTAATGCCACCTCTTCTACTCTCGCACTCGTCTCACCACATGAAACAACACGATAGGAAAGTATATATACAACACACATTTATTTTAGACATCCCATCGGTTGAAATCCGATCCGCTTGAACGGATTTGGCTGAGAGGCGCATTGCATCATCCGCAGTGGTGTTTCAACACGTGGACAACTCTGGACCGGTTTCAACATTCAGTTTCTCACTACCAGCAGAGTCAGATTTTACTTGAAGCAAATGCGATATTCACGTCGTGGACGACTGATGCTGGCCACCCACCCCCTAGTGAGCCACAGCGCCGGCCTTAATAGGTGCTGCTCCTCGCTAACAGCACTTGCCCCAACGGTCTATCAAGGCGATAGGGTGTGGTTCTCTGTCTTTGTATGATGTGCCGGCGCTGGGGAGACAAAGGCGGACGAGCGTCGTGCCAACCACTTCCTCAACCCCCTTGTTCTTCGAGCCGGGATCCGTGACAGAAATCAGTTACAATCTAGTGGAGGGTCAGCCTGACGTTGTACATTAATTTAAGTCTCATTTAAACAATTACAGGAACCTAATTTTTTTTTCAGTAAACCAAGTAAATAGCCCGGTCGCTGGTATGTATTTAAATACATGACGTACACGCAGTGGAATAAAAATACTAAATATCAATGCACACGGATTCCTCCAGTGTAATATACATAAATATCACCACTCTGATTCTGTACGCACGCGCGCAGTATCAATCCGATTTTGAGCCCTCTCTTACATCACGTAGGCCTTTGTTGACGCACAATCATCGGGCACGTGTAGCGTGTAACGACCGAGTTTGCACTGGCACAGAAGCACAGGGCAACACACGTGCGCAGGTTGCGAGGGGAATGGCGTTCGGGAACCGCCGAAAGCCGACCCAGGTGGACCGTGAAGCACCCTGGGGGTAACAAAGCCACGCACGAGGTCAAGTTTGACGTTGGGTTTGTGCAACCAGCTGAGAACTGAAGAGACCAGGGTAGAGTCAAGAATCAGTGGGTGAGTGGGTGAGTGATTGGGTTGGTGGGTGAGTGGGTGAGTAGGTGGGTGAGTGGGTGGGTGATTGGGTTGGTGGGTGAGTGAGTGAGTGAGTGGGTGGGTGGTTGGGTGAGTGGGTGGGTGTGCGGGTGAGTGGATGAGTGGGTGGGTGAGTGGATGAGTGGGTGGGTGATTTGGTTGGTGGGTGAATGGGTGAGTGAGTGGGTGGGTGAGCGGGTGAGTGGGTGAGTGGATGAGTGGGTGGGTGAGTAGGTTGGTGGGTAGGTGGGTGAGTTCAAGTTGTGTTTGTGCAACCAGCTGATAATTCAAGAGACCAGGGTAGAGTCAAGAATCAGTGGGTGGATGGGTGGGTGGATGGGTGGGTGGGTGAGTGGGTGAGTGAGTGGGTGAGTGGATGGGTGAGTGGGTGGGTGAGTGGGTGAGTTCAAGTTGATTTTGTGTTACCAGCTGTGAAATCAATATACCAGGATAAAGTCTCATTTGCAAGAGCCAGTGGGTTGGTAAGTGGGTGGGTTAGTTCTAGATTGTATAACCTGGGCCATTCGTCTTCACTCTGGTAAGAGTGCGATTATTGCTGCTGCTTCTGCGCCTACAGTGTGATCCCAATTGTGTCATTTTCTGGTGATTTGGACCCTGACGCTGGCACACAGTGGCCTGCTCTTGAGGTGGATCTTTAACGTCCCACAGTCACCTGGACGTCGCGTATTTTTTTATATCGAAATCAACCCAAACCTCCCGTAAATCACGTGACTTCCGTGTGGCCAACCCCGCTCTCGATCCACCGCCTCCTTTGAAAACAGACGCCGCTCCGTGCCGCTCACTTCTGCTCGCTCCCTCATGCTTTTTCCTTGCTTCTTCTGCACTCATCTTCCCGTGGCGTGCCACGAGGGCCAAACAATAAACAAAACAACAAACAACAAACAAAACTAAAACTACAAACAATACTAAAACTACAAACAAAACCAAAACAACAGCAACAACAACAACACGTACTGAACTCGCCATCTCTGCGAGGAAGGACCGCGTCACCTCCCCGCATTGCCGACATCATCATCACAGTCAGCCACGGTCAATCCACTGCTGGATGACAATTAGTTTCAGTCCCGCCGAACCTCTGCCGTCAGCAACGATTCAACGCGACGTACAGGCGCCGTAAGGCATCGCGCTATTTAACGCGGTCATTCGTGTTCCAACGACCTGAACTTCCCTCTGAAATCCCCACACCGGCTCATCTCAATTTGGTTTGTCATAATGGACGCGTCGCGGCGTGCCAGCGCTGTCCGTGAGCGCTTCCATTGCAATACGCAGACATTCCTATATTTACCCGCTTGCTCGTTCATTGCTATCCCCGCGTTCCGCGCAGAGTCACCACACGAGGAATCCCGTGGGAAATCTCCACCCCGCTGCGTGAGAGAACGGCCCGCGGAAGTTGTCACAACCCCGCAGAACTGCATCCGAGATCCCCGTCTTCGCGTGACCTCTGAACCACACACCCGCTCTGGCACTGAGGAGCAACTCTGGAATGGAATTTAGCCAAATTAATCGCAGAACCAGATTTTACGTGATGTTTATTTTGTGTGTGTACAATCATTTGAGACCTGGCTGAGACCATCAACTCACTGCAGTTGAGAACCCGGCTTAATCACAGCTCAATGGGTCTCTATGTGAGTCTATGGGTCTCTATGTGAGTCTATGTGTCTCTCTGCGAGCCTATGGGTCTCTATGTCAGTGTATGGGTCCCTATGTGAGTATATGGTTCTCTATGTGAGTCTATGGGTCTCTGTGTGAATCTATGAGTCTCTGTGTGAGTCGATGGGTCTCTGTGTGAGTCTATGGGTCTCTGTGTGAGTCGATGGGTCTCTGTGTGAGTATATGGGTCTCTATGTAAGTCTCTGCATCTCTGTGCGAGTCATTGGTGACTTGCGAACCCGGGTCACCCCAGTGAACAATGTAATAGCCATCACCACTCAACACACACAAGACAAAGATCCCCCGCGTAGCCTTAATCGACTGCTGGGGCACGTGTAGTTAGCGAGTATCACCTATAAAGGTATACGAGGTGATTGGGTGGCAAGCACTGCGCCCGACCGCCTTTGTTTCCCCAGTGGCGATGTTTTAATTTTTTGTTACACACCGCACGAGGTACTCATCTGAGGCTGAGTCGACCAATGGAGTTCGGAATCCGCCAGGCTGAGTAGCGCAGCGCGCTTACCGCTGCACCACCACTCCCACAAAACGCACGGTGTTAGACTGTGCGCAACGCGAAGACTCCCCGTGGTGCCGGGCACACTCGAGAAGCGAGTGCTGCTAGCGAGCACCTTACCAAAGTTTATAGACACACACGAAAGACAAAGATCTCCAGTGTAGCCTGAACAGACTGTTGGGGCAAGTGTTGTTAGCTGAGCAGCGCCTATGGATGCCGGCACGGCACACGAGGGAGTGGGTGGCCAGCACCACGCCCGGCCGCCTTAGTCTCTCTCGTGGTGATGTTTACTACACACCGCAACACCAGGAACTCAGGTGGGGCTGAGTCGACCTAGGGGAGGCCCAGGACCGGTTCGAATATTCGTCACTGGTGTTGGCCGTGAGCGGAAATCGAACCCGGGTCGGCGGGTTCGTAGCGCAGCGTTTGCGCTAACCGCTGCACTACCGCTCCCCCACTATACACACAGACACACAGACACACACACAACGCGCAAACACCAACACGTGGGAATATGCAAACTACCACCGTGCAGTGTCTTCACGCGGACCCGCGGCGTGCGTCAATACCATTGTTCGCGCAATGGAAGTTCGAGGTCTACCTGCTCGGCAGTCTCACGCGCAGCTCCCAGAGTTGGTTTCCAAGGAAGTGCGGCGAGGCATTTGCCTTTGTTGCACAACGCAGGGCCACCTCGAGACTCGCGCGGACGTGTTTGCTCGCGTTCACGGAACTCACTTTTGCTGGTGAAGACCCGACGCATCGAAAACCGCCACCTTTCCAGAGGTTTGCTTGTTCGCGCAACACTGCTCGCTTGATGCACGCACACACACAAACACACAAACTAAAATAGTGTAGCGGTGTTGGGAGACTTGGACGTGTCGGATGGCGTGAGGCCCTATTTTGAACGTCTCTACATCGCGTTTCAATCTCATACATTCGAAGGGCACCCCCCCCCACCCACGTGGCAGCTGTCTCTGCGCGGCAAGAGGTGACTCGTCGGCTGGCGGACCCAGGAGAGAGGGGGGTGGGGTGCGATCATTGCTCTGGGGTTTGATCCCAATTGAGTGAACTGACGGTGCAATTTTAAAACAAACAGAAATAAAAAAAAATCTGCTAAAATTTGGACCGTGACGCCTCCTGGCTCGTTAAAAAAAAAAAACGTCACGGGATCTTGAACGTGCCTCTTATTGAGTGAAGCAGATGGGGAGCAGTTGTCGCTATTTAACTTAACTATATTTTTATTTTACCAGGTAAGGCCCCACTGAGCTATATAGCTTTTTTTAAGAAACGACCTGGATATTGCAAACGATAGCTCAACGTAGTGGCTCTTAAAACGTGGAAATTTATAGCAGCCAAATACTCTAAACGTATGTTTCTAGATGTGGAGGAAAAAACCTGGAGAGAGAGACATGCAAACTCCAAATATACAGCAGGCGTCAGGGTCGGGTTCGAACCCACGACCAACTTCATAACAGGCGAGGTAGTTAACATCTTGCCAGCGCACTGTTAACCAGGGCTACCTGCCGGACGCGAACCGGGATAATATCTGTAACGAGTGGCAAACGCGGCACCGCTCGGCCACGTCGTCACGATCAACATAAACTCTCACACATAAAAAAAATAACTACTTTCATTCGGCCACGCATGTATGTTCTATTTACACACGCACACACCCAGTGCAGGCTTTCGTAAGGTCGGCGGGATTAACGCTCCAGGCGATGCTGCCTCCAGCCCCGTGGAGGGAGATTCCTCGTTCGCTTATCCCGGCTGGAGGTCTTCCCCCCCCCCCCCCCCCCGACCTCTGGGGGCCTCGAGAACCGCCTGCCGGACTTGGGGCCGGCAAGCGGCCCGAGACCCTCTCGAGCGCACCGACTCCGTCGCCTGGCACGAGCGGGCCCAGCGGTAATCGCCTCGCTCGCTCGCTCGCTCACACTTCAGAATAACATTTGTACGATTCTGTAAGCCTCCCTCCACACCCCCTCCACGACCCTATACATTGAAAAAAAAAAGAACCCACAGCCGATATGACGCAACCCTTCCCCCTCCACGTATTCTCAAACAAAGTGCGGCAAAGTCCTCGCGATGACGCGGTTCTTCCACGAGGGAAAACTTTTCACGCCGTTATAACGCGGAACTTGCGCTGTTATGACGTGGAGCGCGCGGCATTAAAATGTGGAAAGTTCACCGTTATAACGCGGAACGCGTGTGCCGTTACAACGCGGAACGCGCCCCCATTACAACGCGGAACGCACCAGTTTATAACGCGGAACGCGCCCCCATTATAACGCGGAACGGCCTTTGTTATAACGCAGAACGCAACCCTTCATAACGCAGAACGCGCCCCCGTTATAACGCGGAACGCGCCCCATTATAACGCGGAACGCGCCCCCTTCATAACGTAGAGCGCGCCCCGTTATAATGCGGAACGCGCACCGCTATAACGCGGAACGCGCCCCGTTACAACGCGGCTACTGAGCGGTGACGATGAACTACTTTCTTGACCTGCGCGGCTGAGCGGCGATACCGGGACACGGCGTGCCCTCACTTATTTTACCTCGCCATCTCCAGTGCGCGTGCGGTAGTAGTCGTGCATCGCAACCCGCCGAGATTCACCGTTGACTCGTCAATGGGAGAAAGCGTTTTCTGCCTTTCCGCTGAACACGTTTGTCGCTGAACGCGGACCTTTCGAGGAGGGCGTCTGCGAGCGGCCGAGGAAAATCGCCGTCGTTTTCCTTCGCACCGCCACCGCCATCGGCCGCACGGACGAGGGGAGATGGAGCCGTGCTGGGCGACCCGCGGTGGATTTTGACGGCCGAAAGCGC